CTGATCTGCAAGGTCCCGCGGGGAAGAGCCACTTTGTCACTCACCGGGAGGAGAGCCGCGTTTTCCTACATAACTGATGTTTTTCCTTTTTTTTTTTTTTCTTTAAAGACAGCTCGAAGAAGCGTACCAACAATTGAAGAATCCCCCGTGTGACACTCTTTATAGCAGTTGTTTTCATCTGCATTGCTCAGATATGAGGTGCTTAAAGCAACTTTTGTTTAGGGCTGTGTTTATGTTGTGCAGTTTTCCGGCACCCTGAGGGAAAAGAAAGATTATTGCCTTATCTGAGTTTATTTTGTTTTGTTTTACAATTTTTTATAGAAAACTTCCAAATTAAGACATCCTTTAAAGCTAAATGTAATTAAGCATTGACTTCTACCCTTCCTCAAACCAAAATCCAAAACCTTGGTTTTGTTTTGTTTTTTTCAAAATGGGGAAAGATGCAATGAAATTTGAAGCCCCTAGGCAAGGCAAAAGAAAATAGATGATTGGAAGTTTGGATTTGCACTTCCATAGGAAATGTCAAAGTTCTGTACTTTCTTCGCTCAACTTTGGGACAAAGAACAGAAATACCAGTATTTTCTGCAGAAAGGGAAAGCTTAAAAAAAAAAAAATCAATTCAGAATCCACTTCTGGGTAGAATAACACCTCCTGGCTCTTCTAAAATGACTGGTGAAGCCTTACAAACCTCAACCATTAGCAGTAAATTATTAATTTTGTACAATGAATATAAAAGTCAAAGTAAGCAAAGCATTACCTGCAAAGCCACGTGTCTAACTCCGCGGCCGGCTGGCCAGGGCTGGGAGGGCGGCTGGGCAGGCCCTCAGCTGAGCACCGTGCAGGCATCTCCACGCTGGTGGAGACCCAAGTCAGCGCACCTTTAGGGCAAGGTGTAATGGCACATAGCCTCCCAGCATGGCATTGTGCCCACACTTATAAACCACGTTTAATTTAAATCTAGGATGCTTACATAAGACAACTCACCCATATTGGCTTTGGGGGCTTGGCAAAGCCGGGATGCTTCCAGACTTGAATTGGCTCGCATGCAGTCAGCTCCAACAACGGCGTTGGGTCTTCTCAGCCTTAGAAGCCTTAGGGCTGGCACGAGCACAGCCGCGGCTGCCTGATGTCCCCCAGTTCTGGGGAGCAGAGGTGTCGCCCTGCTTCCATTGTGGGTGTGTAGGAGCAGCGACATGCCCATTCTGGTAGGTGTCATCTACTGCCAGGAGCAGCTCTTCCCAATAACCAAACGTGGTTGTATCTCCATGCACTCACCTGTTTATGAGCGAACCTGGACAAGATTTGCTTTTAATGCTGCAAAGGGCCTGCACAGTAACATCTTCCTATCCTAGCAGCTAATTGCTTGCTCACGCACACACATTAAGAAAGAAATCCTCAGAAGATAGACCAAACTATTCTAAAATAGAATCATAGAATCATTAAGGTTGGAAGAGACCTCTAAGACCATCGAGTCCAACCGTCAACCCAACACCACCATGCCCACTAAACCATGTCCCTAAGTGCCTCATCTACACGTCTTTTAAATACTTCCAGGGATAGTGACTCAACCACTTCCCTGGGCAGCCTGTTCCAATGTTTAACCACTCTCAGTAAAGAAATAACTTCAATCTGTGAAGCCTGCTGGGGCTTCCATGCAAACCCCTGGCTTGCACGGCCTTTCCTGGCTCGGCATGAAAAAGCGTGGCACCCCCCCCATCCCCGTCCCACACTGAATTGTGTCGTGGTGGAGTCGGAAAAGCCACTGAGGTCCTTGGGCTGCTGGATGAACAAAAAGAGGAATCTTTTAACATCATCTCATAGCAGCCCAGGCTTCCCTCCAGGCATGTTTTCTTGCTCCAATTCTTTTCTTCAGGCTTTCTCTGTCTCATCGTCAAATAAATGACTTAACTCATAGCAGGAATATCTGCTCCCTGAGCTGTGGTGCTGCTCTGCAGGGCTAGCAGGAGCGCCCTGTACATTAATGAACCCCTGATGCTCTTCCAGCACCTTCCCACAACTTCCACGTGTGCCCCAAACCTTTTGGACTTCACGGGGAAAGGGATACAGGGTGCTTGAGCTTGGGATATGACCCCAGAAGTCGTGGCAGGGGAGGGAAAGGCCGTATCCTGCGCTCAGGTGGGTGCAGACACGTATCCCAGGAGTGCCGGGGCAAGCCGGCGCTGCCAGTTGGATGTGTTGAGCGATATCAAACTGCCGGTCAACAAAGGGGGAGTGAAGAAAAGTGAACCGACTTGCCTGAGGAAGGAGAGAGTGAAAAGCTGAGCATAGCATTAGAGCTGAGTCAGAGGGGAGGGGAGGAGGCTTACGTGGAGCTAGTCCTGCCGGTGTCCTGGGGGAGAGGGGTGCAGCCTTTGCTCACCTCCTCGTCCTCAGATCAGGATGGTGTTGGGAAACAGGTCTGCTGCTCTTTTATCTGGGTTGCAGAGTGCCCCAGGGCAGCCGCCGTCCCCGTTTCACAAACGCCCCACATCCCACCGCTCCCAGCCCCAGCATCCCCTTGTGCCGGGTCCGGTGGTGGCGGGAGCTGCCTTGCTCCTGTTCAGCTCACTGACACAGGAAAACCTGTCAAAGCATTGCTTTTTTTGCTTAGTTAGTTTTCTACAAGGTAACCAGTTAATTTGGCTCTGGGGTTTACTCAGGAGCCGGCATGGGGTGAGAAGTGGCAGCACGTACCTGTGACTTGGGTGGGTTGGACCCTTTTTGGCACTGAGCTGACTGGAATGAGGCCGTATTGTAGAGGAGCATCCTCACAGGCTCACTCACTGGTCTGAAACCTTGGCATGTACAGACATGAGGGTAGGCAAGACACAAAACCCCTCCATCTTTCAGAAAAGGGGAGCTGACCTATGGAGGGACTAATGAGGGCAGAGTTAGGACGGGACTGGGCTGAAGTGGTCCCGGGACCAAATCCTGGCTTTGCAATGGCACTAAATATGTTCTAGGAGCGTGGCATTACCTACTTACAACGCCATTTCTATTGATATACAGAAAAGTTGCATGTTGTGCAGCATTTTGAGTCTTTATAGCTGGAGATTAGGAAGTGCAGAAGGAAAGCACTAGCGTAAGTAAATAGATTATGTGGAGTTTAGAGAAACTAAGCTACAATCTTAAATTCAAATAACTTTCCTATTAGGAAGGATCTATTAATACTTACGCTATGGTAATTGTGCAGACTCCAAGTCCTCACCCAGTCAAAAGTAACCCCTAAAAGCCCATACCTA